AGAGAGAGAGAGGAGAGAATATGCATGCATTATTTTTTTTTTTAAAGAAGACTTGGAAAGCAGGCTTGTCCTGGGAGCATCAGCAGTATTTAAATTTGAAATTCTTTAGCCAGTGTTAAGATTGCTATGTGAAGGGGTGTGATGGAGTCAGGAGGGGCCTTGCATACAAGCCCATGTGTGTGAATTTGTTTGCTGTCCCTCTTGTGACCTTGACTCTAGGGTGGCTGGCAGCTGCTGTCCCCTGACTTTGAAGTAGAACCATGCTCTGTGGTCCACGACTCCCCCTGGCATTCAGTGGCTGGGATGTTCGCCATCATCCCAGGCCAACTGGCTTAGGTGATGTGGCTCAAAGACAGCAGCCACCCACTTTCTTTGCAGCTGTGTCCTCACTTGGTGCCTACGCCTGCTCGGGTGAAAACTTCCACCATGGCCTTTCAAAGACTTTCTAAATGCTTTCCCCTTTAGGATCAGAACTTGCTTTTTGTAGGCTATATGGTGTGTGCCTGGGGTTGAGGAAAAGTCCTAGAAGGCGGGCTTCTCGTGAACTGTGAATTGTGGACAACTTTGGGGAAACTGCGGTCAGCTGGTGTGTGGTTCCCACTCTTGTGCCTTCCAGCCCAGTGTGGATGCACCCGGTGACACTGAAACATGCGCCTTTCACCTTCTCACTTCCTCTGGGGTTTCCGTCTAGCACTAGTCCAGCAGGTGGGAGAGAGACAGAAACTTGAATTCTATGCACAGGCAGGTGCAGCACCACCAGCATATGGCATTTTTTAATCTGCCAAGGCAGGATGCCATCTTCCATGGCTGCTTCTTTTGCTGGCTTTTAATGCCACACTGGTTTTCCAGGAGGGGTGCTGCTTGGCATAGGAGGTTGGCATAGGAACGGCTGTCTTGTGACCTGTTGGAAGGCTTCTCTTACATGTAGGGAAATGAAGACAGACCCACTGATGATCCTGGTGTCATACTTATCTTTAAAACTGTCTTTGGAGGCGCTATGGGCCAAACTCTTCGTGGTACAGATGAGGAAACTGAGTCCTTGGGTTGAGAAAGCGAGTGTGGTGTATCGAGTGGCCACAGGTATTCCAGACTCACACTCTTAGCTGCAAGGTCCCGTATTTCCAGGTGTGGCTCGCTTTCCAAGAGCATACCTCAGTTTCTCAAATCGAGGCAGAGAAAAAGCTCCTTTGCAATGAGGGGGAAAACCCCAAACCCTTGCCCAAACCTTCATTAGGCAATGGCTATGGTCTAGCAGCACAATAAACACAGATAACATGACACTGGTATGTTTAAGTGAGGACGGGTGGTCCTGGAGCACCTTGATAGCTGACATTGCCAGGGCAGCTGCCTGGGGCTGAGCCATGCACGTGGTGCACCTGGCCACAACGGGCGCCACGGACTGCACACACACACCAGTCTCCATTATAATGGAGCCTTCTGGGGCTCTTCCAGGTTGGACCCTGAGCTTAGGTACTCTTCCAGCAAGACAGCACAGGCCTGGAAGAGACTCACAGGACGCACAGCACCAAAATAGACGTGCGAAGCCCTGGCTTAGCCCACAGAAAGAGTGAAGGGGGGAGGGGGAAGCTGCTCCCAAACTCATCCACCTGATGGAAATACTCAGTGCTGGCATGAGCTGTAAATAAACCAGACTATGCTAAAAACAAACAGCTCCTGGGGTTGGGGGAGAGGCAGAAAAGGAAGGCCTCCACCTGCTGGGATGAAGTAGGTCAAGGGGGAGAGAGGGAGGGATGGGTAAAAGACGCTTCGGCAGCAAAAGCAGCTGGTAATTTATGTTCACCAAAGATGATGGCTGCTCTAGTTTCCAGGAAGAAGTGAGAGGAGTGATTGCCTTGGGAGACCCAACAGCTTTCTTCAGGGTAGCTCTCAGGGTGCCGGGCAGGCCACACTGGAGGCCATATACGGACTGGAAAAACAATGGTGATGGTGCAGATTAGCCATGTGACCCACTCGGCCCCAGGTGGTCTTTCAGGGAGGGGCCCTTTAAAGAGCTGTAGCTTTGGATATTTGCCGTCTAGTGAGGCACGGGAGAGACAATGGGCAACTGAATCTGGAGAGACCCCAAACAGGCTCTGTGGCTGGGCATACCTGCCACCCTCTCCGCTAGCCCAAGGTGGAAAAGCTGAAGTTGTTCACTCCTGGCTTCTCAATTACTGGCAAAGAGATGGTGATAGAGTAAAGTTTGAAAACATAACAATCACTTTCCACCAAGAAAGAGGATGGTAGGGCCTAGGGAGATGGCACTGGCTGCTCTTCCAGAAGACTAGGCTTCAAATCCCAGCACTCACATGGAGGCTGTTACCTCAGCTCCCGGAGGTGCCCCCTTCTGGCTGTCTCCGACACTTCATGCACACCATGCAGAAACATGCATGCAAGCAAAACATGCACACACATAAATTAAAACTTACAGGGAAGGAAGGGAGAACAGTGACCACCATGCTGGAGCTGCCCGGCCCAGTGTGGGGGGTATCCCCTACCGCGTATAAGTCCGCAGACTTCAGCCTCAGACAGCAGGCTCTGTGACCCTGATGGATCAGGACAAAAGCAAGAACATCCCCCAGTCAGAACTAAACACAGGCAAAAGCCAAGGCTACCCCGCCACGAAATGACTATTCTCATCCTTGACCGTGACTGCTTCTTAGCCAATCAGCTTTTGGGTTGCTCCATTCCTCTTCCGCCGAAGACTTGAGCCAACTGACCATAGAACAGCCTGTTCTTCTGGGTGGTTGCTCCAAGGCGAAGCTGGACTTTGCCTCTCACAGTCTCCTCCACAAATCTGCAAGGACCTGGAATCCTACAATAAGTTTCTCTTTGTGCCCCTGGTTCTTCTTGTGTGTGTTTTCCCTTCTTGCCATGAGCCAACAAACCCAATTTAGTTCTTCTTTGGATGTGATCTGGATAGTCTTTGGTTGGAAGGCATTGGTACAATGGTCTCAAATAGTGCTGTGGAGGCCCCTGCCTCCTTCGTGGGTCCTAGTTTCATTTTTACCCATCAGGAGTCAGTGTTCAAAGAGAAAGCTCTGGAACCAGCCTGCCTGAGTGTAAGTATAGGTTCCACTGTAGCTGTGTGACCTTAAGCAAATTGTTCAACTTACTGGCTTGGTTAGCTGAGTGAAGTGGAAAGGACAATGGTAGTGTCGGCAGTCAGGTCTCCCCTTCCACCCTGGGGGTTATAGGGATTGAACTCAGATCATCAGGCTTGGCAGCAAATGCCTTTACCCACTGGGCCATCTTAGTGGCCCAATGATGGTAGTGGTCGTGGTGCTTGGCCCAGGTTCCCACAAAGACTTGGCATGCTCATATATATGAACCACACAAACGGTGCCTTGATTATAGTCAGCATTTGTCACTAAATTGTTAATTCAAAAACCATTTCTAGAGGTCTAGTGTCTAACACATACTGTTAGACCCTGGGGAGGAAATCTGGTCCCTTCCCCCAACTCCAAGGAAGCACAGGAAGAAGGAAACAGTTTGAGCCCATGGAGAAGCACGAACACAGGGACAAACAGAGAGAAAAGCATAGCAAGGTCCCCAAAGCTTGGCCTGGAGGTGAAGGAAAGCTTCCTGGTGATGACATTCAACATGGAGCTCGGGGCTGAGAGGCACAGGGAGGCCACCAAAGCTTGCTCTGTGAGGTCAGAGATTCCAGGAAGAGAGGAAGGTAGAGGTACCAGAAATCTGAGGCCCAAACTAGGAACCAAAAAATCTGGCTTTAATGGCTGTCGCCGCTACAAACATTCTCGTGCACCTGCCCTTTCTACTGGTAAATTCCTAGAAGCGGAATTGCTGAGCTGTAGTGTGTGTCTATGTTTAGCTTTAAAGGAAAACACCAAGCAGCCAGGCATGGTGGCACATGCCTTTAATCCCAGCGCTCAGGGAGGCAGGTCTCTGTGAGTTCGAGGCCAAGGAGCCAAGGCTACACAGAGAATCCCTCTCTTGTCGGGGGGGGGGGGGGGGAGAAGAAGGAAAGAAAACACAAAGCAATTTTTGAAGGAAGGTAGCGGCCTCCGTTCCCACCTGCGAGTATATGATGACAGTTTTGGCTGTCCTACCGCCTTGCCACGTTTGTCACCTGTCCTTTTCGTTGTAGCCGCTCTGGTGTGTGAGCCTTGACGTGAGCCCAGTGCGCATGGATAAGTAGTATGGTCCTAGCCACACAGCAGAACTCTGTGAGGACTGTAAACGGCAGCCTGTCCCACTCCCTCCAGCGCTGTGTTGAGTAAGAGAAGACAAACGTAGGAATTCACATTTCGAGGTTCAATTTGCATAAAATACAGACATCCTCCCGATGCATCCCTGGCACGAGACCCAGTGGTGTGTGAGCACACAGACGCTGGCGTTTGATGGCCTCTGCTGCCGGCAGGTTTTACCAGCTCTAGGCACTGTTGTCTGGAGTCTGCTCACCCTGTGCTGTAATGTGGGATCTGAGTCTCTGTGCCTGCTTTCACCCGGACTGCAGACTAAAGCCAAACTTAGAAAAGACTCCGTGCAAAGAGAAGCCCAGTGGCCGTTCACGGCCTCACACCTGCACACTGGGACATTTAAGTGGAACTCTCTAGTGAGATGGAGCATGCAAGCGTGAAAGGATAGAGTCTGTTTCAAACCTTGGCTCTGAGTACCTTGGCGTCAACGCTACTTCCGGCCCTGGTCACCTCTCTGTGTAAATAGCTTCCCCCTGCTTCACCATCACCACCTTCTGCCTAGCCGTGGGGCCATGGTGGGTCTGTCTAAACTTTGCATTCCTTGCCAGGCCTACAGAGGTAGTCTCTGAAGGAGAAAAGGATGCACACCTCAGTGTCTGTGCCATCTCCACTCAGCAGAGGCAAGAGAGGGTCTGTGTGTGTCTCTGTTGCCCTGAAGCAACAGGCGGGGCCTGCTCAGATCTCAGGTGACCATGTGAGTGTTCCTTGGGCGTGGTGGGCACGACGCCGGCCATCACCCTAGCCCCGTGCTAAGGAGTAGCAGTTTTCTCTGAACAGCCCTCCCTGGCCTGGATCAGAAGAAGCGGGGCGGCCACAAAGCATGCTGCCTTCTGATGCCCCCGCCACCCCCGCTGTTTCCGCCGCCATTCTCCAGGGGCAGCCGGAGCCCGGTGAGTACCCTGGACTTGGGTGAATAAAAATCTCCAGACTCCTCCACGTCAGCCCCGTACCCGGTTCAGCATGGCCACCTCAGAATGTCATTGGAGAGAGGCCTAGATTGGGCATTGTGCCAATTCTGCCAATTTCGCCACAGTTATGTTCCCCTGCCTTCTTCAGTCGGTGGAGGTGGAAGTTTTTTCTTGTCTGGATGTAGCAAAACACTTTATCTTTAGGAAAAGACTAAGGTGCATTCGTAGTTTCCGAGCTCCCACCAGCTGATCAGATACAGAAATCCCCATTTCCTTTCTTAAATTAAGTATTCTTGAAATCCCTGGGGTGGGGACAAGGATGGAAGAAGGGAAGACAAAAATGGAATGTGGAGGACAGAAACGAAGAAGCAGGGTAGAGAGAGGTTAGATGACAGGTTTCAAAAGTCGGTTAGATATGAGACGTTAGGGTGACTACAGTCTCTAATAACTTATTGTCTGTTTAAAAAAAAAAAACAAAAAAACAACAACTATAACAATAAAAGAGCCCAAAGGGTCCCATTGCGTAGAGATAGAGCCTAGCCGAATCCAGAGAGAGGCCTCTAACCCATTGCTGCTTTTCTCTGAAGCTTCTCTCCCCAGACATGAAGAATCTTCTGGAACTAGAGGCCTCGCCATCCCCTTGCATTCAAGGCTCCCTCGGCTCTCCTGGGCCCCCCGGGCCCCAGGTAGGTGCACCCTTCCAGGCTCCTCCTGTGCCTTCCTGTAGACAAAGATGCACAATGGGCAGAGCCTCACAGTGCCTGGCCCTGAGGTGTGCTGTGTGTCTGGTTTTCCTCCTGTAGCTTCTCTCCAGCTGCAGAGCCCCAGGAGACTCTGGCTGAATCTTGCCTGAACCATGCAGCCCCTGCCATGATAGATTTGAGGGTCCCACAGGGTGCTTATGGTAATGGCTGTTGTCACTGTCACCAACTACAAACGTGACCATTCACCCCACCTGTGACCTAGAAGGGCTTGTGCTCAGTTCAGGAAAGTGGCGGTCAGAGAGACCAGTTACCCGCTGTCCTGGGCTCTGGAACACAAGCAGCCCCCACCCAAGGTAAAAGAAAAGAGTGAGGAAGGAGCAAGCCATTGGAAAGAACTTCCTAGTTCTTTCATGGGGGTTTCCAGAGACCCCCATGCCAGGCTTGGGTGCTGCCATGAGGGCTTTTCCAACTGCTCGGAGACTCTGGGTTCTCCGTGTGGAGGAGAAAGAGGAGACAAGGAACACATAGGCCCTGAGGCCTAGGCAGAAGGCACAGCCATCACCACTCAGCTATGTGAGCCTCTTGTGGTTTCCTAGTGTTAAAAAGGCCAAACTCTCTGACTTGGAAGACAAAGTCCCATGAGCGGACTCTGGCTTGGACTGCTCCGTCAGCTCGCATACCCTCTGCCTTCATTTTAGCTACAATGTCTGCCTCTCTTCCTCACACACACCAAACTTGCCTCAGGCTTGGCTGGTGCACTCTAGGGCCCCTCTGATGAAGTTCTTTCTAGCTCCTCCTAATGGCTCAGAGGTTGGTTTTCATGCCGCCTCCCTAGAGATGCTTTTCTCAGCCAAGCACGGTGACAGATATTCACCGACAGGTGCTCAAATTCCAGCACTCAGAGGATGCTGAGAAAGGAGGATTACTACGAGTTTGAGACTGGACTGTAACTCACTACATAATGAGCTCCAAGATTGCTTGGGCTCAGCACTGGGGTTTCTTCACTTGTCAAACACGGAAGGCTTCTGGGAAGGAGCAGAGAGTGGCAACTGCCATGCCTGAAACTGCGGAGAAACAAAAAAGTGCGGGAGGAAGAGGAACAGTGGGGAGAAGGGGCTGCAGGGCTGAGAGGTCCCAGAGGGAGGGTCCCTGGAGCCCCCACACCGAGAGTCCACCTGCTCTGCAAAGAGCCAGTGCTGCAGGCCTCCACCACAGGCCCTCCCCCGCAGTCTCCCCTTGGTTGGGTATATGCTTTCTTCACCTCTTATCTCCATTGTGTAGGGTCCACCTGGACTTCCTGGCAAGACAGGACCAAAGGGAGAAAAGGTATGAGCCACTGCTTTCTCAGTACCACCGGGCCTTGGTAGTGACAGCTTGCTTTCTGGGAGTGCCACTGAGAATATGGCAAAACATGTGCTCATTCTGTCTTAGCAGATGAGGAGGGCTCCCCCATGAATGGCTGCAGCTGTAGCAGGGGGTGCTATTGGTGTGTCCTGCTTTGGACCACTGGCAAGGCAAGGATGCTGTAACTGGTCAGCTGACCAGCTGACTGACCAAGCCACAGCCATGCCCAGTCCTCAGCCCTACCAAGTTTTCTGATTCGAGAACTTCTCTTTCAAACAACCTTTGTCTATCTGTCTTCTCTATGCGCAGGGGGATCTTGGCCGCCCAGGAAGGAAGGTATGACCCATGCTGTTCTGTCAGGCACGTGTGCTGCACGCACGTGTGAGTGTGTTCGGTGGCCACTAGCACCCCGCTGATGACATCAGCATGCTTGCCTTTGGTTAAGAGCTGTAGCCTGCGGCTGCTAGGTGTCTGGCCAACATCTTCCAGAGGCTGCTGGGCCTGACCACACTTCTCCAGCCTCATCCTGACACCCAGCAGGGAACTCTCCAAGCCCCCCAACCAGTGACACAACATGACCTTCATCACCTACTTGATTAAACTGGAATAAAGTTCTTGCACAGACAGGAACAAATGCCTTTGCTTTGGAAATTACAGTGGCTCTTAGTGAACCAGCCGTATGCCATCATTAATGTCAGAGAGAGAAAAAAAAAAAAAAAAAACAACCCAGCAGGCAATATTGCTGTAGTCAGTGGGTGCTGGTACTGAAGTTCTAGGTTTTGAGTGTGATGAAGGAAGAACAAACCCAGCCTAAAAGATGCCAGGGGCTGTATTATTAACAGAAACCATACACAGACTTTAGCAAAGTACAAATAAGGAGGCCAGCCACAACTCAGTGACTGTGTTGAATGCTGGCCTGGACAGAATCCCGTTGTGGCCCCACACTGAGAAGCATCAGGGTCTCTGTTGATTAGTAATGTCTGCCATGAGCATGGAAGGCAGACGTGGAGTGTACACGCCAGCAGCCAGCATCTGGCACCTCTGAGCTCTCGGCTGGGCCGTTTGAGTCCCGTGCTAACTGTGAGGTGAGCCACTGAGTGTGGAGCTCACGACACATCCCCTCGTCTATAACCCTTAGTTGAGATGGGGTTCTCAGGAGCAGAGATATGTAGAGTGGATGAATTATGAAGGAACACTGTCAGGAGGAAGCTGTAAAGAGAAGAGAAGTGTGCATAAGGGCAAGTCCAACTCTAGCAGCATGAACTTAGGTGTGAGGATAACCTGTTCTTCCTTGACTTCTTGATGGCAAGAGATGGAGGATGTTGGCTGGGAGGTTCATAAGTGACTGGGAGGCTTTTGTGCCCCACAGTGAACTTCACGATTACAGGCTTTTATAGAAGCCGACAGTGTAGCCCCTGAGGGATGGTGCAGCAAGCAGGCAAAATGCCCGTGAGGGAGTTCCAATAGCATCTGCTGCTGCTCCCTACACAGTCCCAGCTCATAGCCAGAACAACCTTGTGGAGAATGCACAGGAAGCAAGGGCTGGTGGGTACACTGAATAGAGGTACTGAAAATTGAAAAACCAAGAAGTTTAGAATCCCTCTGTCCACTGTCCTCTATTTTTTTTTAAAGTAAAATAAAACCTTGTTTGGTAATATAGTTAGTAAAAAAAGTCTTACTTATATTTGTTTGACATGGTTTTTAAAGCCCTCATTCTTTGTAGGGTAAGAATGAAGGCACAGGGACCTATGTTTGGTGGCTTCATACTTTTATCACAACCCCAGAAATTCTTGGCTGGAGCAAAGCATAGCGAGGTGTCTTGACTTTTGTTCTTGGTCTTTGAAGGGCAGACCTGGACCCCCAGGTGTTCCTGGCATGCCCGGGCCCGTTGGCTGGCCAGGCCCTGAAGGTCCCAGGGTAAGTACTGAATGTGTCTGGGGCTCATGTAGTATCAGAAAATGAGGGGGAGTATGACCACCCCGGGTCCTGGGCCAGCAGTCAGGCGCGTCACTTGCTTAGGAGGGAAATAGCTGGAAGGTGGCTCCCAGACCCCATGTGCTTCTCCTTCATGTGGCCTGTGGACCCTGGTCAGCACTGTGGCTCTGCTCCTGTGGAGAAGTGGGAGCTGTCCCTTTCTTTTCCTGGAGCCCCTGCTTCCCCTTCGTCCTGAGACTCAGTGTGCTCAACTTTGGCTTCTCTGAGATGACCCAAAGGGACCTCGGGTCTGGGGAGTCCTCCCCAGTCATGCTGATCTGGCAGGTGGAAAGTGGAGGCGTATTGGCAGATGCTACACTGAGCAGGGATCACCTCCTCCTCAGAGAGAGTGTGCAAAGCAAACACAGCCCATCTTTCTTTGGTTTGTGTTCTTGCTGCCCACCACAGGGTAGCACAGTAATGACTTGGGAATTTGGCCAGCAGAAGCCAGGGCAAGGCAAGCGAATATCCTCTCTGCTCCGCCTTACTGGCTGTGTTGGTAACACAAAAGTCCCAAGATTTCTCCTAACCCACTGTATCCCGGGCTGGAGAGATGGCCCACAGTTGAGAGCACTTGTTGCTCTTGCAGAGGACTTGTGTTCAGTTCCCAACACCCTCATTGTGGCTTAAAACCACCTGTAACCCCAGTTCCAGGGCACACAATGCCCTCCTCTGGCCCCTGTGCTTACTGGGCATGTGCATGGGGCACATAAATACAGGCAGGCTATTTTCAGTTCACTGCATGGCCAGGCGTGGTGGCTCATACTTACAAAACTAGTACTTGCAAGGCTGAGATAGGATCACTGAGTTAGAGGCCAGCCTGGGCTACAAAGGAAGTTCCAGGTGAGCCTGAGCTACAGTGAGATTCTGCCACAAACACCAACAACAAAGCCCCACAAATTGATGCCCCCAACCAACATATAGTTTACTTTATATTTTGCTAATTAGAGGTGGCATGCAGTTGTGTAATACAGAGAACACTTACACTTATTCTGAGGAACAATGGAGTCCACCCTAGCGTTAACCACCTTCCTCTGGTGTCTATGCCCAGAGGCTGACCTTCCCTCTACTTGGCTTCAGATTGAGGGTGAGAGTGTAATGAGATGTCTGAGGCCCTCCCTGTGCAAGAACAAAGCAGGCAAAGAATCTATAGGTGTTATAGTCTTCTGAGGCCCTCACGCTGTCTCCCCTGGCCTCTCACAACCCTTTCCAGGAAAAGAGCAAACATCACCGTTTACAGCAACTTAGTGAGTATTTAGTTTGGCGATCTGTTCCACCTTGGGCATTCTTGTTCTGTTGGAGCTCAGTGACCACAGGGAAAGGTGGACAGTAGGGCTCTGGGAAGAGGGGCCTATGGAACCTCAAGTCTGCAATCCAGTCCCAATACCCTGGTTTCACCCTAGTTTTGCTCACAACTCCCGTTTCTATTCCACCAAGAAATGTCGATAAGGGTCTTCTTTTCCATCTTCTAATTGCCACAGGGAGAAAAGGGTGACCTGGGTATGATGGGCTTGCCAGGGTCAAGAGGACCGATGGGCTCTAAGGTCAGTTTGTGGTCCAGACGGACGTTTCCAGTCCTCCTCGCTAACACTAAGGAGCTGAGCTGTCTACACAGATGGGGAGGGCAGCGCTGGGGCACTGGGCCTGCTGGTGAGCCAGCCCTTGGGGGAAACACCACGCCCTGGGCTGTGGGGACATGGGAATTTTGTTCCTGTTCTCTTTGGCTATCAAGGTTATACCTCTCGATTAGGCATTTGGGGGCTGAGGAAGGCCATGTTGCTTTTTAGACCTGGTTTAAACACAAGCTCTCAGACATCTTCATGTTCCCATAGAACTCACAATGCACTGCAGTGCTGAGCCTCAGCACCGCATTCAGGGGGTCCCCATTCTTACCGCACCCCTAGCTGTCTTAGGGCCCAATTATAAACATCTGCCTGCTTTCTTTTAGGGCTTCCCTGGATCCAGAGGGGAAAAGGTCAGTGCTCGTCTCTTGTGGCATCCCAGATCCTGCTCTGGACACAGCTCTGGAGTTGGTGGTGGGTGGAAGACAGACTCAGCCCTCTCTTCAGTCATCAGCTGAGGCTATCATTCCTAGCTATTCCTCTGTCCTTCATGGGGTGGGGGCTGAGGGAGAAGTGAGGAGCCTCCTGAGGTAGGACAGTTCTGGTAAGGAGGGACTCTAGTGAGGCCCATGCTCCACCCAAGAAGGAGAGCAAAAGCTAGCTGGCAGGGAGGGGAGGGGTTTGGTCAGCCAGCACAGGGGTGCTGAAGAAGAGGATTTGTCCTCTTTCTAGCCAAGCGTTCTCACCTGTCAAAACAAATACCAGCCAGCACCTGCAATACAGGTCCTGCGTGAGGAGAGGCTCTGAAGCCCTGAACTTCCTATTGAATTTCCTTTTATTGACTAACATTACGAGGTTTCAAGGGTCTAAACAGAGAGCATTTCTTTGCTTTACACGCTGCCCGTTAGCTGAGCCCAGAGCGTTGCAAAAGTGAGGAAGTTGGCCTAAGGACTTTTTCCATTTGAAATGCTCCAATAGCAACCCCCAACACAAGGGCAGTGGTAGAGCATTGACTCTGTCTTCTGGTTTCCTCCTAGGGATCCAGAGGTGAAAAGGGTGACTTGGGTCCCAAAGGAGAAAAGGTAACGGCAAATATGTGCAAGGGGAATGCTGCAATAGAAGTGGCAGCTCCTTCCCCTCCCCCACCCCAGCCTGTAGACTTGATGTGCAGCCATCTTGAAAATGGCTGACCAAATCCACCCTCAGCTCTTCCAAGTGGTATTTCAAGACAATCATACTATTTGGTATTCTTTTCACAGGGTTTCCCTGGATTTCCTGGAATGCTGGGGCAGAAAGTAAGTATGTAGAAGTAGGGAGAATAACCTCAGGCAATCCCAAACAAAGCAAATGGAGCCCCTCCTCTTTGTCCTTCAGGAGGAGAAATCGATTTAACCGTGGAAAGGTCCAGTTAGAGGTGAGGAACAAGTTGTCTTATATACTGGGGAGAGAGTAGCAGGAAGGTCTGAGGTCAACATCCAGTTAGAGGGAAAGGCTTTTTCCAATATCTCCCCCCAACACACACACACACCAGGGTGAAAGGCCCCTCTCTGCATCTCCTACCTCATGGAGCTCTGTGGCAAGGTTAAAAAGCTGGATATTTCTCCTAGCTGAGTCACAATGGTCAAGGCCCCTTCTTCCCCAGGCCCTGGAACAAAGTAGGGAGGGGTATGTTTGATTTAGTTTCACTACTCCCTAAACACTCAATATGGACTTCAAGGGTGGCAGACACTGTTGGAGGGACATGGGGCTTTTTTAAATAGATGAAAACTGTTTTATTGAAATAGTGAGCTATTTAGTATGTCTCTTGAGATAGGCCTAAAAGGAGGCAGTTTAAAAGGAGACAGTTTTAGATATTAAAGAAAAGCTTTTGAGTAAATAACCATGGGTGCTGTACTGATATAACAAAAATTGTGTAGGTGGCAATAGAATGACAGATTTGGGGAAACTTTGACTTAGATTTAGGACCTGGAACAAAGTTGGGTGTTAGATGAGGGAAGATATCAGAACATAAAAAAAAAAAAAAAATGCAGCCAGGCCCAAGTGTCATACTCTTGTAATCCCAGCACCCAGGGAGGTGGATTTCTGTGAGTTCAAGGCCAGCCTGGTCTACAAAGCAAGTCTAGGACAGCCAAGGCTACACAGAGAAACCTTGTCTCGAAAAAAGGAAATTCGTAAATGACCATGTAGGACAGTCCCTAAGCATGAAATGCTGGGTCCTCACAATGTAATGCACTGACTGTAGGACAGTCCCTAAGCGGATGTGGTTGCTTTTCTATTGCTGTGATAAGACACTGTGATGAAGGCAAGTTATAAAAGAAAGTGTTTCAGAAGCTTAGCATCTATGACAGGGGAGGGAAGGCAGAGCGTCAGGAAGAGCTGAGAGCTTCCATCTAGGTCCACCAATGGGAGGTAGAGAGTGAAAGAGCGCACTGGACACGGTGCCCTCCCTAATGGCACACCTCCTCCGAGACCACACCTCCTAATCCTTCCCAGACAGCCCCACCAGCTGGGGACCAAGCAATCAGATACATGAGCCTATGCGGTTCATTCTCATTCAAAACCACCACATAAGCACGATGCTTTCAGTCATTCTGCAAGTCACGTAGCTTACCCTTAACCTGTCAGAACCTCAACTCCTGCTACCCTCGGTGGGTTGCTACATTTTAGAATTAGACTGATCACATCAACAAATTAAGGCAAACTTCAGAGAAGAAAATACCTTAAAATATTTTGTCTAGATTTTCATTCCCTGCAACAGAGAACCTCAAAGACTCATAAGTCACTGTAAAATTAAACGGGACAGCTTCTCTGGCTTCTGCACCGTTTACTAGACGTGGCATCGAGAGAGCTGTCTTCCCCCTTTCATGGCGGGCTGTTTTAAGACAGGCCTGATATGATAATCATAATTAGGTCTTAGGAGAGAAATTAGATCAAGAAATCACTGCCTGCTTCCAGCCGGTAGAGAGAAGGGCCAAACTTCCTTCCAACGACCTCTTTTTTAAAATTCATACTCTGTGTGCTGATGTCTTCTCCTAGCCAAACAAGACATGGCCTCCCTGGGCTCCTTTAAACAAACAGTCCAGGGGGATTGTAAAAACATGTCCATGGCTAAATGGCACCATTGACCCCTCATATTCTCACTACTGAGAATCCTGAAGGAAAAGATGTTAGAAAGATGACATGGACTTAAGGAAATTTTTTTCTTAAAGATTGATTTTTTTGAAAAGATTTTCTTATCATATGTATACGAGCACTCCGTTCTCATTCACGCCAGAAGAGGGCATCAAATTCCACTACAGATGGTTGTGAGCCACCACGTGGTTGCTGGGACTTGAACTTGGGACCTCTGGAAGAGCAACCAGTGCTCCTAACTGCTGAGCCATCTCTCCAGCCAGAGAGATTTATTTTTAATTGTATGTCTGTGTGTCTGTGTGTAGGTATGGGCACGTCAGTGTGGCTGTCTGTGGAGGCTGGAGGTCTTGGATCCACCTGGCGGTGGAAGTTTGTGACAATTCACAACCGCCTGGAGTTACAGGCAGTGTGAGCTGCCTGGTATAGGTGCTGGGAACTGAGCTTGGTCCTCTGGAGAGCCCGTGGGAGCTCTTGCCTGCTGCCTGCATTGGGGAGGGACAGAGTCATCCTGTGGCTAAGCTGGAAGGTCAGCTTGGGTGTGGTCCTCAGCATCTGCCGGTACCCTCTGGAATGTCCCTGTGTCACAGAGCCCCACATGAATAGCAGCCTGGGTGCCTATTGCTCTCTCTGAGTGACTCAGGTGGCCCTTCACGGGCACTGGCTGCTGGTAAGTGGAAACTCCGCTGGTAGCAGTTATGCGCCGACCATGTTGGGGTGCAATTTGGGATTGCAGGGCAATTGATTAAAGTAGGAACAATGTACTACATTCGTCCATAATCCTCAGTAAACAAGACAGGAATCCTAGACAGACAAAACTAAGGAAAAACTGAGGTGGAGAAAAAACATTTAGGGGTGAGTGTGTGTGTGTGTGTGTGTGTGTGTGTGTGTGTGTTACACACTCCAGAGTGCAAGTCTAGAGGCCAGAGCTCACCTGGTGGAAGCTGTTTCTCTTTCTAGATCTTCTGGTTTAGCTTGAGCACCTTCACTGACAAAGCCATTTTGACAGTCTGAGTAATAAATTTTTGCAAAAGGTTGGCCTTGAACTTTAAAAGAGCTATTTTCAATTAGCAATGTAATTTACATGGCTTTACACATTTTAATGATATTTCAATGATAACTATTTGAACACATACCTGAAACATCTCTGTTCACAAAAAGCGTTTTCATCTGAGCTGGGCATAGTGGTACATTTCTGCAACTCCAGAAGGGAGGTAGAGGCAGGAGGATTAAAAGTTCAAGGTTATCTTTGGCTCCATAGGGAGGTAGAGGCCAGCCTGGGCTACCAAAGACCATATCTCAAAAAGAGTTTTCTAACTAGGTAGAAGTGAGTTGGGACTCAAAATAATATTTATTGAAGTGTGGAGAGCTGCTCCACATAGCGGGATACATTCTAATCCCAGCATGCAGGAGGCAGAGGTAAGCAGATGCCTAGCTGGACTAGCCTGGCCTACATATCAAATTCCAGGCCAACCAGGGCTACATAGTGAGAACCTATCTCAAAAAATAAAAATAGTGGAAAGCTACATAATCCTAAATAAGGATCAGAAACATACCAAACATGACAGTGAACAAGAATGCTCCCAAATATAAAAAATAAAAACCAAAGCAAACCAAAAACCTCACAGGTGTGAGTTTGTGCTAAAAACAAAACACAACAAACCATAATGAAAATTTTCAACTATCCAAGAAAGCCTTTTCCTAGTCCGTAGTGACAGGCACACGTGCGGCTGAAGTGCAGAATCCTCTGCTGACCGCCGTGGACGGGGTTGGTTCCCCTGCTTGACTGCTGGAGCGCCCGCTGCTCTACAGCACGAGGCCACACACTCGGGTTGCCTTGTTTCCTTCTTCTTCCTCGGCTATGAGCTCAGCAGTCTCTCATGCTCCCAGGACCGTTTCTGTGGAAAAGACTTGGAATGATGAAGAGGAGGCCCTGGCGGCCAGCAATTAGAGAGACCAGAACAGATGTGGCCACTCTTTCTCTTGCTTCTCTTTCTTCTCCCCAGGGTGAAATGGGTCCAAAAGGAGAACCTGGGCTAGCAGGAAATCGAGGCCCCACAGGAAGACCAGGAAAACGAGGCAAGCAGGTAAGGACCCCGGGGTTTACTCCCCATGAGGTCACTCCCGGCTTGGAGATGTATGGAGAAGCAGGCAGGACGCAATCAGAACCATCCCACAGCCCAGGATTCAAGTATCTTCGGGGCTAGTGGACAGAGCAGCCTCACTACTGACCTTCAGGCTTCTCCCAGCTGCCATGGTTCAAGGTTACAGGTGCCATCCAAGGTCAGAAGCAAGAGTGGCCCTAGTTTGTAGGAACACATATGTCTTAACCAAAGCAGCTGGGAATGGAAGGAAGCTGGGGTCATTATGCAGAAAATGGAGTTTTCGAGAACAGCTAGACATTCCCTTGCTATTAACAGATCTCTTGGACCTCAGTGACAGATTTTACTACACAAGCCCATAACTTGGAAGTGATCCTCCTCAGTGGGTTTGTAAAGAGTTTAGGGAAGTTGTTTGCTTTGAGCAACCCCACCCCACATTGTGGAATGACCAATCATGTTAATATTCATATCTTTCACTTCAGATAGTTTCTGTTCTTTGTCATGAGACTATTTGAAATCTGTCTGGCTCCTTGGCTTTTTATCTCCATCCTGTTGTTGGTTATGGTTTGATCTCAGTATTACAGCCTTCCATAATTCTTTCTTTCATTTTAAAGTTCCTTTCTTTCTTTATTATGTTGTTGTTGCTTTCTCTATGTCCAATATGTAGTTATTTTGTCCTTCACTTATAACTCAAAATCACAGTGTGTACAGCTTCTTGTTATTGTAGAAATTAATGAATTTTAAAGCATCTTCTTAAAATAGCTGCATCCTATTTTTAATAAAGAAGGAAGCAATAGATTGCTTGGAGGCCCACCCGGATCATAGGGAATGCTAAGAGGAACACACCTGTGGGAACAGAGCTTTTCCATTGTGCTAGTTCCCTCCCAAGATCAGAGTGAGGCTCCTCAGACTTCAGTTGAATCAGCGTCACCTAGGAGTTTACTGAACACAGATTCCCCCCAAACCCCCCAGCTACAGTGGCTGCACTTCTGAGTTTGCTTCTGGTTGTCCCTGTGCCTGGGCCTTGTCTTAAAGACAGTGGTGTAGCTGGCCTGGAATAGACTTCAGGATATGTTGTTGGAGCCACCTGTGGGTTCTACTGTGAAGCCAGGAGTCTGCATCACAGTAATACTATGAAGCTAATTATGATCTTTCCTAAGTCAATGCGGAAGTGACATGGCTCCACCAGGGATAATTCAGACCGTACAGGAACATGGCTTGGTTTTGTTTTTCAACGGAAGACAAAGCCTTGATTTTTGTACAATTATTTAAATCAGATATGTCAAGATTCCTTTTGTTTGTTTTCAAGGTCACAAAAAGTCTCATTTTGACAGCTTCAAGGGTGGCACTGGTCACATGGCTTTGGAAGCATGCCACAGAAGATAGTTTCCTTAAGTCTAAAAAAGAAAGAAAAAAAGAAGGGAAAAATTCTCCCCTACCATGACTTCATTCTAGAATGTTTAAGAATAGGCTGTTGGCTTCTGTCCTCTAGATCTTTTCTCATTCATCTTTCTTGGAAAAGCCAGAGGCAAGTAGGCTGTGTGTTGATGACAGTTGTAATGTTGGCGTGACAGTAAAAGCTACACCAAAATCACTTGGCAGTCTCAGAAGAATCAGGGAGGAAGTCCCCCCCTTTTTTACAAGATGCTGGAACTGACCTGTATGCCCTCCATGGTGCCTTTCCACTCCACAGACACTTGGACTGTTGTTAGAAGTCTGACCTAGCACTTCCTTCATATCTCAAATTCACAGATATATAGAATTATATATCCAGAAGAACTATGATTTCTGGAAGTAACTATATGTTAATTCAAAACTAGGAAACAGAAATCTAGGAATTCCAGAGTATACTTTCAAAGACAGGATTTTAGAGATCATTTAGTCAAATTTCTCTCCCTTCATATCTCTTCCATTATTCTCAAGGAAACTAAGGGCCAGTGAGGTGGAGTTGCTTGCCAAGACTGTTCAGCTGAGCCAACTTCCAGGCCAGGGTTAGAATTTGCTATGGCTCTGTCATGGTCCTGCTTCCAGACTTGTCTCCAGGCAGGTCCAGGAAAGCAGCTGTTGACTTGATGATAAAACCCTCCAGGGGCTGGGGTTATAGATAAGTGGTAGAGTGTGTACCCAGTGCACAAAAGGCCCTGGGTACAAGTCCCAGCACCACAAAAAGAAAGAAAGAAAAAACAGTCCTTAGGTAAGGATTCAGATGGGTTCCTCAAGAGAAATCTTGTAACTTTACAGCAGATAAGGAATAAGTAATGCTTTTCCTGGATAATTCAGCTCAGTGAAACCTACTATAAAGACATGGCACCTTCCACACAATGATCAATGAAGTAGAAAATTCCTTCACTGCTTGTGTCAGAGTCAAGGAGTGCTTCCAGCTCCTTCGAGCCATGCATTTCCTGTGCTCAGAGCCAGCTGGCCTGGCTGTTAGAAAAACAAGCCTTACTGGCTATATTAAGCTCGTGTGACTTCCTTTGCCATTCTGGGCCCCATCTTGGTTACCATGTGGAATGCTTCACCCTGGACTGAAGATTAACGGCCTCCTCTATGAGGGCAGAATTGGAAACAAACTAACCTCACGGGTCCCATGGGACAAGTATAGGAACACCTGTGGTATTCTGGAGAAGGCTCCTATGACTATGCAGGACAGCACCTCACTGAGTCAGTGTTGTGATTGGAAATGGAGTAACTACAGGTGAGACTTTCTTTAAGAAATCAGGACTTCAGCAGGGTGTGGTGGTGCACTCCTGTAATCCCAGTACTTCGGGAGGCAGAGGCAGGCAAATCTCTGAGTTAGAGGCCAGCCTGGTCTTCCAAGTGAGTCCAGGTATATAGCCTTGGCTATACAGAGAAACCATGTCTCAAAAAAAGAAAAGAGAAGAAAAGGAAAGGAGATAGATAGATAGATAGATAGATAGATAGATAGATAGATAGATAGATAGATA